CTCTGCATGCACTCCCCCAAACCCTCCCCCCTCCCTTCCCCCCAAACCATCTTTTGTCTCTCCGCCCCATAATAACAGGAGCATCAGCAAAGGCATGGAGTGCCCCTCACCTGCTTCTGCATGCACCCCTTCTCTCCGCTCTCTCCTCGCCTCCTCCGCTGCTCCACTCGCCTTTTGCTCTTTCTGCCCCAACATTTGCATGCAATGCAAGACTGGTACGCAAAGCAAGATAGGTAATGAGAGCCCCACTCTCTTCGCCCCACTCTCTTTGCGCCATGCTTCTTTGCATGGATTGTCAATTCTAGTGACTTTCGTTATAACGAGCATCTCTTATGATAAAAAAAAAAAATCTGCATTCGATCCTTCCCGAAAGTCAGACCGACATCTCCCCAATCGTGCTCTTCTCTCGCCCCCGCATTACTCACTCGCTCTCCCTCCTTTTCTTCCTTACCTTTTCCCCTTCCATCCCCTCACATCCAACCCCTTGTCTCCCTTGCAGCTTACCCTCCCCCCTCTCCGCCTCCTCCCAGCCCACCCCCTCCTCCTCCCCCCTCGCCTCCTCTTCCCTCTCCTCCTCCCTCCCCTCCACCTCCCCCGCTCTTCTCGCCACCACCACAATCACCGCCGCCACCCCCATCACCACCGTTACCCCCACCACCACCATTTTCTAACGGTTTGTATATATGAGAGAAACAGACGTGCCTATGACAGGTATGGTCTGGTATGGTACGGTACGGTACGGTACGGTACGGTACGGTACGGTACGGTACGGTACGGTACGGTACGGTACGGTACGGTACGGTACGGTACGGTACGGTATGGTATGGTATGGTATGGTATGGTATGATGTATGTTTGCATGTATGTATGATAAACTAGCAATGGGCCTGCTGTCAGGTATGGTGGCACACTGCTTGGTTTGAGAATTTTAAAAAACAACGGGTATGTATGTATGAGGGCAATGGACCAGTTGGGAATAGATATGGGTGCACACAGCACACAGTGTGAAAATAGGAAACAGAATTAATGAATCCATTAGAGGAGAAACAAGCATACATATGTTGGATGAGAAGCTTGGAAGGGAAAGGTTGGGTTGGCCATAGGTTGGGTTGGCCTCACTTTGGGAAGTGAGGCAACCTTAGGCCAAGTGGGTTGGGTTGCCCACACTTTGTGGGAAGTGAGGCAACCTCAGGCCCACTTGGGTTGGGTTGGCCTCACTTTTGGGAAGTGAGGCAACCTTAGGCCAAGTGGGTAGCATTTGGAGGCTCTACCACAATTGGGTGGATTGGCACCTCAATGCAAGACTACACCCAAAGTTGGGTGTAGTCCCAACCCAACTGTACACCACAATTAATGTACAGTCACAAGTGTTAGCATGCTAGAACATATAATTCTAACACACAGCACACAGCCCACTGCCCACTGCCCACTGCACAGTGAAGCCCTCCTCCACCCGAGATAGGTATGGCGGCAAACCAAAGGCCGTGTGCAAGAGAAGTAAAGTTATGATTCCATCAAAGTAGAGTTTTTAACTCGAAAACGTGTTCTTATTCTGTTCTGTTGCTCACGAATTTCAATGCATCCCTGCCCTCCCCTCTCCCCTGGTTTTTCCTTTCCTTCCCCCAACCATGTCTCCATGCATTTTCCTCTGCACCCAGGGTTAAAAAAACCAGGGTTAAAACCGTATTTTTTAGCCTTGTCTGCACCTGCAACCTTTCGATCTTCACGTCATCGCGCCCATTTTGTTTTCATTTTCCCTTCTATTTTCTATACTCCCTCCTTTCTCCCCTATTTCCATTTGTTTCGCAGCACAAGATCCCGCTCTAGCACCCATTCCGCCTCCGATTTCCTCCCCCCCTCCACCCTCTTCACCATCACCTCCTCCTACTCCCCCTCCCTCACCTCCGTTACCCCCTCCTCGGCCCCCTCCTCCCCACCCTTCTCCTCCTCCCCGACCCCTTCTCATCTCCCGCCGCTCCCCAGCCCCCCCTCCTCCCAGCCCTCGTGAGTACCTCCCATACCTTCTTCGTACCTTCCTCTCATCCTCCCCTCCCCGCCCCCCTCTCCTAGTCTCTCGCCGCTCACCAGCTCTCCCTCCTCCCAGCCCTCGTAAGTTCCCACCTGCTCATTCCAGGTCATATCCCAGGTGAACTTTTTCCTCATCAGGTGGTTTGTCAGGTGATCTCTTGTAAAAACATCCGAGTATCTTCAACATTTTCTAGGCATGCGTAATCTGGTGTGAATTTGGAGTGAACAGAAATCCTTGCAAAATCATTTAAAAAGCATTGCGTATCCTTGTGATTGTTTTGATTCTCTGGCTTGCTGATTTATCCCTGGATTTCGTTTCTGATTTGTTCCCTGGATTTCCTTGCTGCTTGTGTTCCTTCTAAGGTGACTTCTGAGCCGACTCAAAAGTCACAGCATTTGGAAAGCACTGCGCATGTGGTCGTGTTGATGCTCTGGCTTGCTGATCTACTCCCTGGCTTTCCTTAATGTTTGTGTTCCCTCTGCTTCATGTTTCCCTCTTGCACAGCATTCCCACCACCACCATCCCCAATCCCACCACCACCATCACCATCCCCACCACCACCATTCCCACCACCAAAAGACATCGCTCCTCCTCCCAGTGCTTCAAGCCCTGCCGTTTTACCACTGCCAGCAGCACCAGCACCAGCAGCAGCACCAGCAGCAGCAGCACCAGCAGCACCAGCAGCACCAGCAGCACCAGCAGCAGCACCACCAGCAGCAGCACCAGCAGCAGCACCACCAGCAGCACCACCAGCAGCAGCACCACCAGCAGCACCACCAGCAGCAGCACCAGCAGCAGCACCACCAGCAGCACCACCAGCAGCAGCACCACCAGCAGCAGCACCAGCAGCAGCAGCACCACCAGCAGCACCACCAGCAGCAGCACCTGCCAGGCTAACAGCATTGGTACGAGGAGCGTCGACACGGGCAGCCCCGGCACAATCACCAACACAATCACAATCACAATCACATTCACAATCACCATCACCATCACCATCACCATCACCATTACCATCACCATCACAATCACAATCACAATCACCATTACAATCACAATCACCACCATTAACAAATCGTCGCCTTTAACACCAGCAGCATAACCGTCATCAGCGTTATAGGCATTAACTTATGGCCCTCGCAATACTCCTGATGTGTGGCCCTGAGGTCGATAATTTATACATGGTACAGTACCATGTCGTATTGTGTACAAATCTTACCAGATTAAAACCCCAGGTGCATGTTTATGTACAAATTTAATGCTATTCCAGATTTTTTGTTACTCTTTGCCGCACCAATAATCAACTAGATATCTTCAATTAGGCTCAAGTGATATACGCATGACAAGGGCCGTTACTATCCAATATCGAGTACATCAATCTTCGTCGTGACGTTCTTGCCTAGAAAATTTCACAACCATTTTGGAACACTTCGAAAGCAGCGCGTGCGAAATTCTGCGTTCCCGAAACCCCAATTGAGCCTCTCTGATGTGCTCGTGCTATCCGTCCACCTTTTAGGCTCTTCGCTTTTCCATTGTCGCGGCCATCTCCGTACGCGCTTCTACCCTTCGGGTATTCTGTTCATTTGTCGTTGTGCTTGGAGTCTCGCTCACGGATGAGCAATTTCGGCCCTGTTCGATAGGCTAGCCTTTTGCAAAAGGCGAGGCTAGGCTAGGGTTAGGAGGAGGGTTCAGCGCAGTTTCTTCCCCTACAAACCAGTCGGAAGCTGCGCCCCTAGAAATCGGAAGGAGCGGGGCCCCGATGGCGATGTTGCTTGCCCCCTTCTACCCGGTCTGTATAGAAAACTTTGGAATGCCCGCAACAGAGTTCTGGGTAACAACGCTGGAAAAAAAAAAAGAGGCTCTCCCCACAAATTGCTCGCCTCATAAGAAGATTGGCCCAGACAATTATTTTTCAGGTGGAGTCAAGAATTGCGGGCTATTTTTTTGGATTAAGGAGAGGGTATCCCTACCACTGCAAACACTTGGCGAGCCCTTTGGCAAACCCCACTTTCGGGGGGCGAGGGTGAGGCTAGGCGAGGGCTAAACCATTGCCCGAGGGGGAAAGTCCCTGGATCTTTCCGAGCGGGCTAAGGCTTCTTGAATGGGTTGCGTTCGACAGGCTAACCCTAACCCTTCAGGTTCCAGAGGGTTAAAACCCCGTGACACCAGATTACGGGCTGACCGGGTACTACATCGAAACAGTCACGAGGATTCCGCGGGCGTTAAGGCTAGCCTATCGAACAAGGCCTTCGTGAAATTTACGATATTTGAAGCTTCTAAGGCGTCCGGCGTTTTCGTCGCCGCTAATGACCTGAGCGATCATCGTGCGCGAGCTTCGTCTTTCTCGTCGTGTTCTGAGTCTACTCAAAACACGTAGCTAATAAACTGAGCCGTTGATCCTCCTCGTGCGCGAACAACCGCGTCTTTCTCGCCTGGCCGGGTCTGAACGAGATCCTTCACATTTATGTGAGGATCAATATTCGTTGCTCTTTGTACCTCCCCTCGCTCACTTTGCGTCGTACAGTGCCCCTACAACCTCGCCCACCTTGCTCTCTCTCTCACGCTCTCCAACGTTGAACGCCATTCTGTTGCAGGTGTTGTTCGAGAGTTGAAAAAGAACCACCTGCAACTTTATGTTATTTTACAAATGAGTGTTTTATTGTGAGGAATGCTAGGTAACAGGAACTCTTTAGGGAAAATATCTTCCTCTTTCGATTTTGACTCGCTTTTATTGTTCCCTTCCTTTTAACGCGTCCTATCCCCTAGCCACTTCCTTGTCTGGTCACCTCACTGTATCCTCAACCAACGAATCGTGTACCCGTTAACACCTTCCGATGCGTTGACGTAGCCATTACAAGTTTCAATTGGGTGCTATTCTCAATGTCCACTTATCCTCGTACATACCGCACACCCTCAACCGTGCATCTCAAATATGTAAATCATGTGATTTTGGTGCTACTGAGTGCAGATTCGGAATGCGAGGAGACAACGACGGTGTTGGGGGTCCATCAGAGCACCAAGGGGCGGTGCTGGCGATGGAGATGAGGCTGAGGGCGCTGGAAGGGCAGCTGGAGGAGACACGGAGGGGACTGGAGGAGGCTGAGAGGCGCAGGGCAGAGGAGATGCTAACAGTGAAAGGGGAAATGCTAACAGTAAGAGAAGAGCTGGTTGCAGTAAAGGGGGAACTGGTGACAAGAAGGGGGGAGCTGGCAACAGCAAGAGGGGAGCTGACGACAGTAAAGGGGGAGCTAGTGACAGTAAGGGGGGAGCTGGTGACTGTAAGGGGGGAGCTGATGACTGTGAAAGGGGAGGTGGAGGCGTTGAAAGGGGGTTTAGTAGAAGTGAAAATGGAGTCGGCTAAACAGAAAGAGTGCCTGCAGAAGGTGGAGGAGGAAAGGTTGGGCATGGAGGGGGAGGTGAAGAGGCGCAGGAAAGGAGAGAGTTCAGACGAGGCAGCAGTGGTGCAGTGCTCGGCATCAAGGCATTTCGATACAACTCTGGATCTGAAAGGCCTCTCTGGCCTCTCAGATACCTTCCTTCGCCACGTGGCCACCATGACTCACCTCAAGCACGTGCACATCGATGGGTGCTCAGGCTTCACATCTGAAGGCCTCAAGTGCCTCTACTCCCTGCCTCTGCTGGAGCGCCTGGAACTGAAAAGCAGCGTTGTCACTGATAGCACGCTGGATGGCATTGGGAGGGTACGCACTCTGAAGTTCCTCTATCTCAACCGCACTAAGGTGACTGATTCTGGGTTGGTGCACTTGAAGTGTCTTTAATCTCCCTCAAGACCTTGATATTTTACAAGTGCACGGGGGTGACCTGTGCTGGCATGGTGCACGTGGGGGGGATAACAAGCCTTAAGGAGCTGTATTTATACGGAAGTGGAGTGAAGGACAAGGGACTATGCTTTCTGGCGCCTTTGACCAGACTCAGAATGCTCATCCTTCCGAATATAACCGATGCTGGCCTAGAGAGCATCCAGTACCTATCTGCGCTGGAAGGGTTGAATTTCACTAATTCTGAAGCGACTGAAAAGGGTGTGAAGCTGCTGGGAAGGCTACCTCATCTGAAGCAGATTAGAGCGTTTAACCCCGACTTTCAGACACTGCTGAGGACCAGTCTTCCTGGAGTGATAGTGAGCAGTGATATTCTGCCTGGCGCTATTTTTGGCGATTAGGTACGTTGCTGAGTCATGTAATCAGATCTGATGCCATGGTGCCGGTGGGGTGGCCGATGGATGTTTGCCAATTCTTTTTTCGTCTGATTTCTCAGACTACAGAGCAGGGTTCTCGTTATCAGACCAATTTGGTCTGATGGTCTGAGTTTAAGACTTGTTTTTTTGTATTCATCTGCTTCCTAAGAATCTGTGTTTGTTCTCATCTGATCAGTAAGACAAGCGTTTCAGGTTCGTATGATTTTCCAGACCATGTAGTATGTTTAATCTGAATATACAGATATCGAGTTCGGTTTCGTCTGAAACCGACATCTTGACCCACTAGGCCATATGCCCACAGCCATTTGCTGCCCTGTACAGTAACAGCACGCGCATTCATTACACGTGTCTTATACACATGGTCCTCGCCAACTTCAATCCCACCATTTTCACCCCCTCCTCTGTCGTGACTCGAAGAGTCTGGGTAGGGTGCTGCTTTTGGTGAACACATCTGACGTGTCTATGCACGTGCTGAGCTTGAGCTCCAAGGTCAAAAAATGACAGGTCATTTGCACGAAGGAAATCAGGAAGGTCAGTGCGCCTCGCCATCCCACATTTCAGGCGGAGTGCATAATCGCAAGAATGCAGCCAGAGGGGGGTACCACATCTACATGGCAGCTCCAGAGTGATCCGAAAATCCCCCACCATCTGGGAAGTTGCATTCGAACCAGTAATTGCTGTTACAAACTGCTACGAAGCATTACTTTCCCAATACCTTCTGCCACGTAAGATTAGGTCGTGTTCACTTTCCACATCATGCGGTGAGTATGGCACACACTGCACGTGGAATTGGCCGCAACTGCAAAGTTGCGGCCATTTTCACATCCCTGACACTTACGACAAGCGTGCCACCCGCCCCCGCCGACGTGAAATTGGCGAGGGCGCGGTGTAGCAGCCTATCGAGTCACTAGACAGCCTCGCTGTCTAGTGACTCTGACTAGGTCCTTTGCTACTGCCTAGGTTGTTTGGTACTATGACTAGATTTGCTGGTAGGATTATAGTAGGTTGACTTTTAACAGGAATTTTTTTTTCGTCTTAGTTGTCATACTAGAAAAAATATTCCAGCTTATAATTCAGACCACGGAAGTTTCGTCGTCCGAGCATAAGACGGGGGAAATTTTTTTCAGGGTACTGTCAGACAGCCCCAAAACCTAGCGAGAGCCCTGCTACAGAGTTTCATTTTATCTGAATTTCCAGACCGGGGAAAAAGAAGAATGCATCCGACGACCAGACGGGAAAAGAAACCCGTCTGGTTTTCAGACGGGCCCAGAATGTAGCAAAGACCCTGACTTCAGCATACTATAGACTGTCTTAAATTCTGATACCACTATGGGATACATCCAGTCTTGTGCTTGGCTTGAGTCCCAAGAATGTGGTGGCTGAGAAAAATGAACCTTTTTATAAACAAGTCACTACATTATCGCGTCCCAAATTGCTCATCGTGAGTTACCATCCGTAGCTCTTGCAAACAAAACTCTCGCCTCTATCGCTGCACACAATGGCGTCAACCTTGGCGCAAAACCCAGGTGAACCAATCGATTCCACGCAAAACATCGTCCTATCGCAAGGCGTGACGAGGCGGACATCCCCGTCGTAAGGCGTGAATTCCCACTCGTGAATGCATTCTGCTTCTTGCCTTGTTCGATTAGGTCTCGATCGATGTCATCGCATCGCGTCTCACAGCCCATCTTTACAATCTCACATGCGATGTCTTTCGCTCCGCGCCATCATGATGACGAATTTCGTAGTCCCCTGCTTACTTCTAGTTCCCGTACAGCACATCAGCACAAGGGCTCACCTCCTCCTTCCTCCGCCCCATTCCTCGCGTCGATGCATGAGGTTTGCGTTCCCTTTCCCCGTCTCATTTCTTTAAGCCCTGCAGGTCTCTTCTCTTCCTTCGATCCAACGCAATCGCCGTCTGACATAAAAGTGTTCCCGTAGCTCTTTGCGCCCTTCTGACAGTTTGAGCTCCGGTTTCGAACCAGGGTTGCGTCTGAGGTAAGCTCGAGAGCACAGTATCGCCCTACTATCTGTACCTAAGAAAAAAAAAAAGCAATCCGGTGCATACGTAACGGTGGTAGTTGAAGGTGAACCTAAGAAGACGGATCTCATTGGAGCATTCATGCACCCAGCTGGGTGCCCCATGCACCCATGCACCCGTGCCCCATGCACCCAGCTCTTGGCTCCCTAACTTCCTCTTCATCTTGCCTCTTCACCCTCTCCGTCCTGCTCCCGTTCCAATTCCCCCAACCCCGTTCCTCCCCCTCTCTCCCCCTCCTCATCTTGCCTCATCTTGCCTCTTGGTGCACAGCCTGCACCAAGCTGGAGACGGCTTTTGAGGCGCATTGAGAACAACTTGTACAGCCTGGACGAAGCTGGAACACTGTTGTTTGTCGTAACGCGGATGACAGGGCTGCTGGCCGCACTGGCTGTCGCTGCTGTGACGGCTCTCGCGATCATTCTGGTGCCAGGCGTGGATGTGCTTTTGAGGCGCCTCAAAGATGGGAGGACGGATGAAGCGACCGTGCTGGTCACAGGGGTGCTGGCTGCTCCTGTCGTTGCTCTGGTCAGAGTTGCTCTCATGATGGATCCACGCGAGAATATCCCTCACCAGGTCAGCATTAACCCCAACCGAACTTTTGTCAGACAGTTCGCTAATTATTCATCACGCAGTTGAAACCGTCTCTCTGATGCCTTACCTCTGTATCGACGCACTTCTGCGCTTTTGAAGTATGCATCTCTCTGTCTACCCGCAGAGATTTGGCATGCCATGCAAGCATTTCTGGACCACTACCCCAACACCGTGTCTTGTTTCCCTATCTCAACACCAACTCCAACTCCAATTCGTGCTCATCGTCTTTTCAGCCCACCAGTAGGTTTTCACATTCGCGTCCCGTCTCCCCGTCCTAACACCATTGCCAACCCCAACAATCGCACTGTTCTTACCTCAACTGTCTTAACACCAACTGCAGTGGTACATCATCTTTCCAGCATGGGCGGCTTTCGTGATTCTGGGCTTGTGGTCGGACGTCTGCCAGACACAGACCAGAGCGTGGGTGGGCCGGCAAGGTTTGGTGGCAAAAGATGAGCTGCCGAAGCTGACAAGTGCAGCCGTTTCCTTCCTGGTGTGTAATAAGTCAGATCGCTGCTATGCGGTGGGTCATGCTCCTTGATGCCATGAGTCGTGCCCTCTGTATGCCATGAGCCATGCCACTATTACATGCTTGGACCAGGTAAATTGTTCATAACCCCACTCATCTCGTCATAAAACCAACAATACAATTCGTGGGCTGGCATACAACGAGTCACGCAGCTCGTCTTCTTGCCTCTTCTCCTTTCTCTTAACCTTCTTTTTTCGTTTCCCTTCCCACAGCGCCTTTATTGATGCATTGAGCCTGTTTCATAGTCCCTCCTTGTGCTCCTCCCAAACCACAGGAATATGTAATCTCAGCTCTCTTTAACATGTGAGAACGCCCCATCTTGCCACACCTTGCCACCATGCGTCCACGCAATGTTACCTTTCATGGCCTCGTTCCTTGACCTTTCGCAACCCAACGTGCATGCCTACATCTAATTGACTGCCCCCGTTTGTGTGTACAGTTTCGTGTTTCGATGCTGATTCTCCTCCTGCTCGCCTGTCTTCCTTCCTTGGTATCCTTGCACAGTTTTGGAACACAAGAGGCTAGTGAAGAGGCTCCCATTCGTTCAAGGCAGCAGGAGGAAACAGCTGCGCTGATACACGCCATGCAAGCCCGGATTTATGCGCTTGAAGGGCAGCTTTTAGAGACAAGGAGAGAACTGTGGGAGACAAGGAGGAGACTGGAGTAGGCTGAGAGAAGGAGAGTAACGGATTTGAGAGAGTTGAGAGGGCGAGTGGAGAAGGGAGAGAAAGAGGTGAGAAATGTGAAAGAGGAGTTGATAGAAGTCAAGTCAGAGTGGATGAGGGCCTTGGTAAAAGTCAATGAAGAGTTGGAGTGAAAAGTAGGAGCTGTCAAGGGGGATTTGGAGGAGTTCGTAGCAGCAGAATTGGAACTGGGGGGGGAAAAAAATATGTCGCAGCCAAAAAATGAGTTGGGGGGTTGGTAGCAGTCAAAGGATTATTGATAGCAATGGAAGGGGAGATAATTGTAATGAAGGGGCAGTTGACCGTGACAAAGGGACCGCTTGGGGAAGGCAGGGAAGGAAGCGAAGGGTGTCTAGGAGGATGTGAAGCCTCGTGGGGCCAATGACGAGCCTTGAGGAGCTGTATCTGTTTGGTAACGGAGTGTATCTGTCTACCGCATTGGAGTTGCTGGACATATCGACTTGTGTCGTGACAAAGAAAGATGCGGGGATGCTGAAGGGGCTCCCTCGTTTAAAACAAATTAGAGCGGGTAGTACCAGCTTGCAGCTACTGCGGTCGGCTCTTCCTGGAGTGGTAGTGAGCAAGGATCTTCTGCCTGGCGCTATTTCTGGTGATGTGCGTTGAAGGTGCTTCTAGAGTATATTCAGAGTAAAGGCGGGCAGTGCAAGCTTGCAGCTGCTGTGGACGGCTCTCTGGAGTGGCAGTGAGCAAGGAAGGATCTTCTGCCAAGCGCTATTTCTGGTGATGTTGATTGTGACCTTCAGTACAGCCACTGTACGTAGGTAGATATGTACCGTACACCTGCTGGCATAGAACGTGAGGGGACGCTGGGATGGATGCACCAATTTGTGTACGGTACAGTACACCAGTAGTACTTGCTTGGTGCCGTAGTTTGTCATTGAAATCTGTGAAGTGAAGTTAGTGATGCATAACAAAACTGACTCTTCACATATGTTCTTAACCAATTAGCATGTCATACTGTACTACAGGTTTTATTGAATGTACCTATAAAGCGGTGTCGTATAAACTGGCTTTACTATACACACAAGGCAGCGCACATACACTTTCTCATTGACCCACAACTGCACGTGCCACACAACTGTATGAAGCGCCTCAAAATTGGACACCAAACAGTGAACCATAACTGCTCTCGCCATAAGCCATGGATGGGCGTTGGGTTGAAGGTAGACAGGCAGGTAGCATGAGCGCAGGCGGATGCAGAAACATTGCCACCTGGGCAGAACGGAAAAACACCCACATTTTGCGAGTGCTCAACGCTCATCACCCTCCTGTCATCCCCCTCCTCTCCTCGCTAAGCATGCAGGAGCTTCCACGCACACCCTGACTCACACTGCCCTGCCTTGTATCGGTAACTTCATAACCCTTATAACTCGCGTGAAGATACAAACTCAAAAAAGAGGGCAAGAATTGCCTCAGGTCAGGGCCCCCAATACCAGCCCTACCATGCCTTCTCTCCTGTCATCACTCCTCCCACCTTTCTCCTCCACACCGCACCACCAGTGCCTTGCCTCCCAACAAGGTTTTCCCTATTTCCTGTACATTCCGCTTCCTGCCCCCCTCCTCTCCTTCCTTGTGTCCCCAACTCACTCTTCCCTCTCCCTCCTCTCCTCATTCCCCTCCTTCACGCAAACCTCCTCCGTGCGAGCGGCTGCAAGATCTGTCCTTTTGAACCCTCTGCAAGGCACATTGTGAGCGTGAACTGACACCGCCCCCTCTAATTCTTGCTATCCACGCTCTGCTTTCAGCTGTGGCCTCCACCTTGTGCTTCCCAAGCGGCTGCTGATAGACCCAAGCACCACACACGCACACACACGCACGAACACCCACCTACTATCCCCCACCCACCCACACACACAGACACACGAGAACACAGACACACAGGCAAACACAGACACACACATGCCCCCCTCACCCCCTCCCCCTTCTCATGCTCTGTTCCCATCCGTGGCCTCTGCCTTGTGCTTCACCGACAGTTGCAAATCCAAACCGCCCGCTTTCAAAAGCGTACCCCAGCTCCCCACCCAGTAGATAGACGCACCAATTTCCGGCACAACCGCAGCGCCATACCCTGCAACCCCGTTGCTGCCACGCCCCCTCTCCCCACCAGCACCGCTTGCTCCCAAATGTACCCGTTCATGACCGCCCCCGACAGTACTTAGTAATCACGCCCTGCTCCCAGCTGTAGCTTCAGCCTTGTGCTTGACTGGCAACTGCAGGTCCAATCTGAAGCAGCACCGTCCGCTCTCAAAGGCATACCCCAGTTCCCCCCCCAGCAGATGCACCAGCCGTCTACACAACCGCAGCGCCATGCCCTGCAACCCCGTCGCAGCCACGCCCCCTCTCCCCACCAGCACCTGCACCAGCGGCCCCGGCACCCCGTCCCCTGAATGCGCGACGGTGAATCTGAACCGTTCAGCCGACGGGTGCCCCTGGGGGGGCGGCACATCCGCCGCTCCTCTCATCGGCGCTTCTAGCTTCAACTCGATCCAACCAGTCGGCGGGGTGTGCTCGACGGCCGTGCGGAGACATGTCGCTAGGACCTGTTGTAACCGTGTGGGATCCCCGAATACTCGCACTCTCATGGGGCTGGGTACTGAGCAGACGAGTTGTTGCCCCTTGGCAATCGCTGCTCCTGACGCCTGGCTTAGGGACGCGTTCAGCACTGAGACTAGGGAGAATTCCACCCGCTGCACGTCTAAGTAACCCTCCTCCACCGCATTCAAATCCGCCATATCGGCCAGAATCGTTCTCATCTGCTCTTCCAGCGCCGCAGCTGTCTCCAGCAGCTGAACCTGGTCGGGTGAGAGGCTAGCAGAGCGCTGCAGAGACAGGCGGATGAAGGCTAGACCGTCAAGGGGCGCCCGGAGGCTTTCTCTGGCCACGTCTGATTGCGCTATACGGGCCTGTGCGGCGGTCTCGGCGGCGGCCTGGGCTTTAAGAGCCTCCTGCACCTCGCGGTTCATGGAGTGGAGGAAGCAGAAGACGCCCGTTATACGGCCGTCCACGTCCGTGCGCTTGCTCACCGTTAGTAACACCTCCTGGAAGGGGCCGACAAGGAGTGGGGGCAAATAAGAGGGAAGAGGGTGGTGAGGATTGGGGAGAAGTGCAGACAGAGGTGGTATTTCTAACCATACCACCTGCTCTCTCACTGCTGCCTGTTCTAGAACTCTCACCTGCAGCTTCCTGTCTCTCGCAGAGAAGGAGAAGGGGTGGTTGTTGGTGTCATGGCATCCTCATCCCGCAGCATCACCATCGCCATGTCCCACTATCCCACTCATTCCCCATGTGGTAACCACCAGTCCCCTCCCTCTTATCTGCACCTTGCGAGGAGGTTTGAAGCCCAGACTCTCACCTGCAGCTTCCCGTCTCTCGCAAAGAATGAAAACGGATGGTTGCTCGTGTCCTCATGCCCCTCCATGGCACAGTTCACCACAATCTCCAGCTCAGTCATGGCATCCTCGTCCCGCAGCATGAGCATGGCCATGTCCCACTGACCCACTCATTCCCCTTGTGGTAACCACCAGTCCCCTCCCTCTGACCTGCACCTTGCGATGCAGTTTGTAAGCCAGTTTTTTACCTGCAGCTTCCCATCTCGTGCGAAGAACGAAAAGGGATGATTGCTCGTGTCCTCATGGCCCTCCATCGCGCAGTTCACCACAATCTCCAGCTCAGTCATGGCATCCTCGTCGCGCAGCATGAGCATGGCCATGACCAGCCCAAACACCTCCCCCAGCAGCACAAGTGACTTTCGGGCCGACTCGAAAAACAACCTGCTCTCCCTCTCACCTCCAGCTTCTGAGGCGGTTTAAAGCCCAGTCTCTCACCTGCAGTTTGCCATCTCGTGCAAAGAACGAGAACGGATGATTACTGGTATCCTCATGCCCCTCCATGGCGCAGTTGACCACGATCTCAAGTTCAGTCATGGCATCCTCGTCCCTCAGCATGAGCATGGCCATGTCGAGCCCAAACACCTCCCCCAGCAGCAGCCTCCCCAGCACGTCCCCGCGCCCCAGCCCTGTGAGGCGGCTCATGCCGGTGTTCCACTCGCTGCAGATGCCGTACTCGTCCATTCCGAAGATTGGTGGGATGAGGGGATTTGGCGAGTGGACGATTGTGCGGTAGTCTCCCTCACATCGAATGTACCTGTGAGAGGGGAGCGGAGAAGGGAGAAGAGGGGGAGAAGGGAGAGGGAGGGGGAGAAGGGAGGGGAAAGGAGAGGATTATAACTCCACACAATATCGTTGCTACCACTCCTCCCTCCCTTTCCTTCCTCCTCCATCCTTCTTATCCCTCACCCCTTGCCCCACTGAGACACACACCCAAGCCACAAGCATTACACCCATCGTCGCTACCATTCCTCCCCCCCCACCCTTTCCTGTTCCATCCTTCCCATCCCTCACCGGTCCGTAACAATCTTCTGAGTGGCCACGTCGGGCGAGGCACGTCCTGCCCCATCAGGCACACGCCCACTCACACATTACTAGCACCCTGAATGCCACACTCCCTTCTCGTCCTTTCCCATTAGACCCGGAAGGCGCCTCACCTATCCATGACGATCTTCTGAGTGGTGATATCCTGCCCCACGAGGCACATGCCCAAGCAAAGAGCAATACTAGCACCCCTGCTGCCACTCCCCCTCCTTCCCTTTCCCTCCCTGCCCCACGAGGCACATGCCCAAGCAAAGAGCAATACTAGCACCCCTGCTGCCACTCCCCCTCCTTCCCTTTCCCTCCCTGCCCCACGAGGCACATGCCCAAGCAAAGAGCAATACTAGCACCCCTGCTGCCACTCCCCCTCCTTCCCTTTCCCTCCCTGCCCCACGAGGCACATGCCCAAGCAAAGAGCAATACTAGCACCCCTGCTGCCACTCCCCCTCCTTCCCTTTCCCTCCCTGCCCCACGAGGCACATGCCCAAGCAAAGAGCAATACTAGCACCCCTGCTGCCACTCCCCCTCCTTCCCTTTCCCTCCCTGCCCCACGAGGCACATGCCCAAGCAAAGAGCAATACTAGCACCCCTGCTGCCACTCCCCCTCCTTCCCTTTCCCTCCCTGCCCCACGAGGCACATGCCCAAGCAAAGAGCAATACTAGCACCCCTGCTGCCACTCCCCCTCCTTCCCTTTCCCTCCCTGCCCCACGAGGCACATGCCCAAGCAAAGAGCAATACTAGCACCCCTGCTGCCACTCCCCCTCCTTCCCTTTCCCTCCCTGCCCCACGAGGCACATGCCCAAGCAAAGAGCAATACTAGCACCCCTGCTGCCACTCCCCCTCCTTCCCTTTCCCTCCCTGCCCCACGAGGCACACATCCAAGCGGCCACGCCAGCACACTGGGAGAGGAACCCCCTGATGCAACTCCGCCTCGCTATTCGTCCGCCCCAATGCCTCACCTATCCATGACGATCTTCTGAGTGGTGATGTCTTGCCCCACGAGGCACACGCCCACGATCTGGTTGTGAATGTCCCGGTTGGCACAGCTGTTCACGAGCATGATCAGCACCCCCGCCGGCACGCCGCTGCGCCACACCTTGAGACGTATTTCCACGTCTGATTCCTCCCGGCCTTGTAATGACTGTTTAGGTTGAGGGAGGCGTGAGGGGAAGAAGGGGAAGGGAGCAGAGCATGAACCTGGTTGGCACAGCTGTTCACCAGCATGATCAGCACCCCCGCTGGCACGCCGCTGCGCCACACCTTGAGCCGTATTTCCACGTCCGACTCCTCGCGACCTTGTAACGACTGTTGAGTTTGAGGGAGGAGGGGGGGAGAAGGAGAAGAGAGCAGAGCATGAAATGAAGGAAGGATGGGCATGAGCTGTTCACCAGCATTATCAGCACCCCTGCCGGCACACCACTCCGCCACACCTTGAGACGAATCTCCAGTGGGGCAGGCGAGCATGATAAGCACCCTGCTTGCAGTTTTCATGTGGGCTTGCAGGGAGTGGTTGAAGGTGAGAAAGAAGAGAATAGCGTGAAGGAGACAGTCTGAGGAGAAGAAGCGCAGGCAGAATGAGAGCTGCGAGTGGGGTTGGGGTTAAAATGATGAGCATCGCTTGTTGGTAGGGTGGATGGATGCAGTGAATGGGGGCATGCAGTGAATGGGGGATGAAGTAAGCGGGAGGATGCAGAGAGCGGGTGGGGCATGCTCATGTACAGGGCCGGCACCAAGAAGACATGCGTATGTATATGGACAAACTCACCGACACGAGCAGTCTCTGTGTGTCCGCCTTGCTCTCCTCCGCCACCAGCTCCTGCAGGAACAGTGGTCTCACCAACCAGGCCCACCCTCACCAACGCCAGTCACACACTCTCATCACCGCCATCCCCAAACGCACTGACATCATCCTTTGCCTCACCGACACGAGCAGTCTCTGAGTGTCCGCCTTGCTCTCCTCCGCCACCAGCTCTTGCAGGAACGAGCGCCCCATCGCCTCCTCCACTGGTACACCTATAGGGCGGAGGGAGAGAAGGGGAGGGAGCGAGGGAATGGAGAGGGAGGGAGGGAATGGAGAGGGACGGAGGGAATGGAGAGGGAGGGAGGGAATTGGGGCGGGAGAACCAGAGTCAGCTCACAGAATGGCTTGTGCAGGCTGCAGGAACGACCGCCGCCAGTACACCTGCAACAGGCAAGAGAGCGAGTGCAGTGCAGGGGGAGGGAGGAAGAAAGGGGAAATGGGAGGGAAGGGAAGGGAGCATGAGAGTCAACTCCAGCACCAGCTCTTGTAGGAACGGCCGCCCCACTACCTCCTTCACTAGTACGCCTGTAGGGGGGAGGGAGGGAGGAGAGAAGGGGACAGAGGGTAGGAAAAGGGAGAGGGAGAGAAGGGGAGGGGAAAGGGGGGGGGGCTTGAAATGCGTCAGACAACGTCTCCTGTGGTAACGAGGATGAGCATTTCATGGCCTTGAACCCGGAACCCCAAACCCCAAACCCTGAAGCCCCCCAAGCCAAACCCCAAACCAGACCCCAACATCAATCCCAAGCTCCAAATCCCAAGCCTCAAACCCCAAACCCCCCTGTGAAGCCGCCCACCCACCTGTAAGCTTGGCGATCTGCATGTTCCAGCCGTTGATCTGGCCGTTGCGGTTGACGCCCAGGATGGGCACGGTGGCGGTCTCAATGATGCGCACCGTCTCATTCGCCACCTGGTTGATCTCGTCCATGCTCTGCAGCCGCAGCTCTGCCACTCGTGCTAGCATTAGTTGTCGCCGCTTCACCTCGTCGTGTTCCTGAAGGGAGCATGGAGGGAATGGCAGGGAGGAGGCGGGGAAGGGAGCCAGCCAGCCAGCCAGATATAAGGCTCGCTCACAGTAATAAGCACAGGGCACCGTCTCGTTCGCCACCTGGTTGATCTCGTCCATGCTCTGCAGCCGCAGCTCTGCCACTCGTGCTAGCATCAATTGTCGCCTTTTCACTTCATCGTGCTCCTAGGGGAAGAGAGGCACGGGTAAGGGAACACAGCAGTAAGAACGGGGCACCGTCTCATTGACCACCTGGTTGATCCCGTCCATGCTCTGCAGCCGCAGCTCCGCGACTCTGGCTAACATCAGCTGTCTGCGCTTCACCTCGTCATGTTCCTGGGGGGAGGGGAGGCACGGAAGGTCATACGGCAATAAGCACGGGTAAGGGCACATGGTATGGCAACAAGCACGAAGCACCGTCTCATTGGCCACCTGGTTGATCTCGTCCATGCTCTGCAGCCGCAGCTCTGCCACTCTGGCTAGCATAAGCTGCCTCCTCTTCACCTCATCGTGCTCCTGAGGACAGGGGGAGAGATGGGGAAGGGCGGGGGTGGAGGACGGGGTCAGGCAGGGGTAAAGGCACACACATGGCAACAAGCATGGGACACCGTCTCATTGGCGGAGATGGGGATGGAGGCGGGTGGGGATTGGGAAGGCACGCCCTGAGAGACTCCTTCCTCACCCCATGTGTGGCTTCCAGTTATCCCCAACCACAGCCCACTCAAGGTGCAAAAATGCGGTTTTTGTAAATTACAGTCCGTTTTTTACGTGAAATTTCAAAAATACGGCGTTTTTTTGTTAGAGAACTCTTGTCACCAAGAAAAAACAGGCAAAAACAAGGTCGTATACATTTTCAATCATGCCCACACATGCACACATGCAAGGAGGGGTTCGTCCTCTTCATCCTGGTGATTTTCGCCATCAATTTGGTCCCATAAATTGGCCGATTTTTTCTTCAAACCAAAATCACCTTCTGGAACCGTTTTTTACGGTACCGTTTTTTACGGCCGTTTTTTACGGTAAATTTTCAAAAAAACGACGTTTTTTTTAACCTTGAGCCCACTTACCTGTAGAGCGGATCGCAGAATGAGCTGCAGGCTGTGCACAGCATCCATCTCATCTCCTCCCAAGGCTGCGAGCACATGTCATGGGCACCGACTCTAGCAGAGCATGCTTCAATGTGTGAGAATCCCATAGTTGGGATGAAGGGGTGAACTCAAGAGTTGGTATATTGATAAGAAGAGCAGTACATATAGGGAATGGGAAGAGTGATCAAATCAGAGCTACCCCACACCATTATTGGCAGACCAATGTGGTGAGGGTCCAGCCCAATAATTGAGGTTGAGTCAATTATTGGAGGGGCCAAACATTGAGGAGGGTTGGCCACCAATGTTGGCTCCCCAACAATAATGGCCGCTTGGGTTGTGGAAACCCAACCAAAAGTTGGGAGACCACCTCAATGTGTACACCCATGATTTGGGTGTACACTATTAGTTCTAGCCATATACATGCTATATTCTAACACAACCCCTTAGCATGAGAATGGCTAGACCAAACAACCCCTGAAGCGAGGACCCGGTAATAGATGTGGCGGATGACGCGGCATGCCAGCCGAAGAGAGGGGGGCGACTGTTGAGAAGGCAGCCCAACAGCCGACGGGTGCGGCGGCGGCGAAGAGGGACGGCGGCGGCAGCGGGAGGGCTGCCGCGGCGGAAGGGAAACGGCGGCGGCAGCGGGAGGGCTGCTGCGGCGGAAGGGAAACGGCGGCGGCAGCGGGAGGGCTGCTGCGGCGGAAGGGAAACGGCGGCGGCAGCGGGAGGGCTGCTGCGGCGGAAGGGAAACGGCGGCGGCAGCGGGAGGGCTGCTGCGGCGGAAGGGAAACGGCGGCGGCAGCGGGAGGGCTGCTGCGGCGGAAGGGAAACGGCGGCGGCAGCGGGAGGGCTGCTGCGGCGGAAGGGAAACGGCGGCGGCAGCGGGAGGGCTGCTGCGGCGGAAGGGAAACGGCGGCGGCAGCGGGAGGGCTGCTGCGGCGGAAGGGAAACGGCGGCGGCAGCGGGAGGGCCGCTGCGGCGGAAGGGAAACGGCGGCGGCAGCGGGAGGGCCGCTGCGGCGGAAGGGAAACGGCGGCGGCAGCGGGAGGGCTGCTGCGGCGGAAGGGAAACGGCGGCGGCAGCGGGAGGGCTGCTGCGGCGGAAGGGAAACGGCGGCGGCAGCGGGAGGGCTGCTGCGGCGGAAGGGAAACGGCGGCGGCAGCGGGAGGGCTGCTGCGGCGGAAGGGAAACGGCGGCGGCAGCGGGAGGGCTGCTGCGGCGGAAGGGAAACGGCGGCGGCAGCGGGAGGGCTGCTGCGGCGGAAGGGAAACGGCGGCGGCAGCGGGAGGGCTGCTGCGGCGGAAGGGAAACGGCGGCGGCAGCGGGAGGGCTGCTGCGGCGGAAGGGAAACGGCGGCGGCAGCGGGAGGGCTGCTGCGGCGGAAAGGAAGCGAGGGGGAAGGGGGAGGTGGGCTGGATGGCCCGAAGGAGGAGGAAGCGAGGGGGAAGGGGGGAGGTGGGCTGGATGGCCCGAAGGAGGAGGAAGCGAGGGGGAAGGGGGAGGTGGGCTGGATGGCCCTTAGGGGGAGGAAGCGAGGGGGAAGGGGGAGGGGGGCTGGATGGCCCGAAGGAGGAGGAAGAGAGGGGGAAGGGGGAGGTGGGCTGGATGGCCCGAAGGAGGAGGAAGCGAGGGGGAAGGGGGAGGTGGGCTGGATGGCCCGAAGGAGGAGGAAGCGAGGGGGAAGGGGGAGGTGGGCTGGATGGCCCGAAGGAGGAGGAAGCGAGGGGGGAATGGGGAGGTGGGCGGAATGGCCCTTAGGGGGAGGAAGCAAGGGGGAAGAGGGAGAAGGGCGGAATGGCCCTTAGGGGGAGGAAGCGAGGGGGAAGGGGGAGGTGGGCTGGATGGCCCGAAGGAGGAGGAAGCGAGGGGGAAGGGGGGAAGTGGGCTGGATGGCCCTTGGAAGGGGGGGCGGAAGCGTGGTGACGATGCGAATGAATGCTGTCGGGAGCGGGATTGACGGGCGAAATGCCGTCGGGAGCGGGATTGACGGGCGAAATGCCGTCGGGAGCGGGATTGACGGGCGAAATGCCGTCGGGAGCGGGATTGACGGGCGAAATGCCGTCGGGAGCGGGATTGACGGGCGAAATGCCGTCGGGAGCGGGATTGACGGGCGAAATGCCGTCGGGAGCGGGATTGACGGGCGAAATGCCGTCGGGAGCGGGATTGACGGGCGAAATGCCGTCGGGAGCGGGATTGACGGGCGAAATGCCGTCGGGAGCGGGATTGACGGGCGAAATGCCGTCGGGAGCGGGATTGACGGGCGAAATGCCGTCGGGAGCGGGATTGACGGGCGAAATGCCGTCGGGAGCGGGATTGACGGGCGAAATGCCGTCGGGAGCGGGATTGACGGGCGAAATGCCGTCGGGAGCGGGATTGACGGGCGAAATGCCGTCGGGAGCGGGATTGACGGGCGAAATGCCGTCGGGAGCGGGATTGACGGGCGAAATGCCGTCGGGAGCGGGATTGACGGGCGAAATGCCCTCGGGAGCGGGATTGACGGGCAAAACGCCTTCGGAAGCGGAATCGACGGGCGAAGTGGTAGGCGCGTTCGTCGCGCGGGTCGGCGCGTACAAGCGCCTCAAATGCCACGGGGAAAAGCCTGAGGGAGGAGAGCAGGCTGGTGGGGCAAAGACCATGAAGCCGGCAAGAGGCCGAGGATCTCCTAGGGAGGACGAAGGTGGCGTTAGCCAAAATAGCTCTATACCATGTGAGAATCCCATAGTTGGGATGAAGGGGTGAACTCAAGAGTTGGTATATTGATAAAGAAGAGCAGTACATATAGGGAATGGGAAGAGTGATCAAAATCAGAGCTACCCCACACCATTATTGGCAGACCAATGTGGTGAGGGTCCAGCCCAATAATTGAGGTTGAGTCAATTATTGGAGGGGCCAAACATTGAGGAGGGTTGGCCACCAATGTTGGCTCCCCAACAATAATGGCCGCTTGGGTTGTGGAAACCCAACCAAAAGTTGGGAGACCACCTCAATGTGTACACCCATGATTTGGGTGTACACTATTAGTTCTAGCCATATACATGCTATATTCTAACACAATGGACTCCTTTCACTGTGCTATGTAGTTTACTGACTGACCTAAGAACCACAACACACCTGTAGAGCGGACTGAAGAATCAGCTGCTGGCAGTGAACAGCTCCATCTCAACATCCTCCCAGGGCTGCGAGCGCATGTGCACGGTCTCCCATGTGTTCAGCGGTTACCCCACACAACAGCTCACCTGTAGAGCGGATCGCAGAATCAACTGCAGGCTGTGCACAGCGTCCATCTCAACGTCCTCCCAGGGCTGCGAGCGCATGTGCACGGTCTCGAGGAAGGCCTTGAAGGAGGTGCGAGGGTGCATGCGCGTGGGGTCGTCCACGTCTAACGGGTCGTGCTTCTCGCCGCCCCACCGCACCTCCTTCGCTGCATGCGCGCGGAACCTGAGGTGTCAATGGAGCACGGAGCGAGGGGGAGCGAGGGGGTTGGAGAGAGGGGGAGGGATGGGGAGGTTTTGGGAGGAAAATGGAGGTCTTAGGGGGTTTGGGGGGAAGAGCGCATGTGCACGGTCTCGAGAAAAGCCTTGAAGGAGGTGCGAGGGTGCATGCGGGTGGGGTCGTCACCTGGAGGAAAGAGAATGAGGGGGTTGGCCAGGGGGAAGGGGGGAACGGGTTGTATGGTCGTCCATGTGTGACGGGTCATGCTTCTCGCCCCCCCACCGCACCTCCTTGACTGCATGCGAGCGGAACCCGCAGCAGGGGAGGATGGAGCGCGGGAGAGGAAGGGTTGGGTGGAGGGGAGGGTCCATGCCGCTGAACTTTGACCGCAATCAGCCCGCACACAAACCTGCTCGCCCAGGTCAGCCGGGCACAGCACACCACTCAATGAGTGGTGAAGGAACAAGCACAAGCACGCACCACATCAGTAACGTATCAGTCAACGCACCACATGAGGAAGTCTTTATCGCTGAAATTGATGGCTATGAGCCGGCACACCTCCTCGCCCAGATCAGTGGCACACAATACACACACAGTCATGGAGTCAAAGGAAGAAGCTCAACCACACACCACATATGCTCAACGCACCACATTAGGTGACTTTGAGTCGACTCAAAGGCACGCACCACATGAGGAAGTCTTTATCGCTGAACTTGACAGCTATCAGTCCGCACACCTCCTCGCCCAGGTCAGACGCGTGCGGGTAGCCAGCATTGAGCAGCGAGTCGGTGCTGAATCCTGTGGAGTCACTGTGATGTGTCAGCAGCCACTCCGCTATGTTCAGCACCTGGCCCATTGAGTGCACGTCAGTGTGAAAGGGGTGGGGCAAGGAAGGGAGCTCAGTACATGTCTGGCGAGTCGTTGTGGTGCGTCAGCGGCAGCCAATCCGCTATGTGGTGGCAGTGCAGTACGCATGAGTGGGGAAGGCAGGGAAGTGAATGCATGTGTGTGCGGGTAGCCAGCATTGAGCAGCGAGTCGGTGCTGAATCCCGTGGAGTCGCTGTGGTGCGTCAGCAGCCACTCTGCTATGTTCAACACCTCGTGATGGCAGGTGGGTGGGAAAGGAAGAAATGGTGCTCTGAGGCTCTTCAAACACATGTGTGGTGCGTCAACAGCCACTGCTCAGCTGTGTTAAGCCCACGGTGGTGGCATTGCATGCAGTGCGCATAATGGGGGACGGCGAGGGAGGGAGTGAGGTGAGTGCATGGGGGTAGCCGGCGTTGAGCAGCGAGTTGGTGCTGAAGCCCGTGGAGTCGCTGCAGTGCGTCAGCAGCCATTCTGCTATGTTCAAAACCTGGTGGTGGCATGGCAATGCAAAGAGTTGGGGAGGCATGGGGACATGGATGGGAGGAAGAGCGTGTACTGTGTGCCGCCTCCGCAGATGGCTGGAGGGTTGCAGCGGTGCGTCAGCAGCCACCCCGCTATGTTCAGCACCTGGTAGTCGCATGGCAGTGCGCATGAGTGGGGAAAGGCAGGGAAGAAAGGGACGAAGTTTGGGCTGTGAGGCACCCGAGCACCTCAAACAAACACACCTCCGGTGAATCGCGGTAGCTACAAAGCAACAGAAAGAGCAGAAAGAACAGACATGGAACGGGAGACCATCTGGGGATCAGAAAGAGCAGGCCTCCTCAGAAGAAGCCAGCGGAGCCGCTCTGTCACAGTGCACGAGGTCGCTGATGTGGGGCGTCTCGGTGGCCATGGGACCCTTGAGTTCGCTCGCACACGCGGCACAAGTGCATACACAGTACCACGGTACCACCCCGCACCTGGGGCTCAGACGGTGTAGACCCAAGTCTCCAGCAACGCCCATTGTACAGCAGAGCGACGCCCATTGTACGCCCATTGCCCATTGTTCCGCCGGGGGGCGCCACCACAGTGAACAAGATCGCTGATGTTGGGTGTCTTGGTTGGTGACCAGGGCGACGGGCGGCACATAGTAGAGCACACACAAACCAGGTGACCAGCAGAGCAGACCCACCTGAGGCTCAGAGGGTGTGGATCCTAATCGCCAGCACCGCCCATTGTAAAGCAGAGCAGCCCCGTCGCAATGAACCAGGTCGCTGATGTTGGGCGTCTTGGTGACCCCAGGGTAACTCCCTGAGTCCACACTAGGACACACAACCACACACTCTATCGCACAGCCATTACACCCACCTGGGGCTCAGAGGGAGTGGACCCCAGTCTCCAGCAGCGTCCATTGTACAGCAGAGCGGCGCCGTCACAGTGAACCAGGTCGCTGATGTTGGGTGTCTTGGTGACGAGCGCCACGGGTGGCTCGCGCATGAGCATGTCGCACAGCAGCGTCTGCATCTTGAGCGCGTGCTTCGCCTTGAGCTGATTCGCCAGATCCATCTCCTTGCTCAGCTGCACTGCGAACACCTGCGATAAAATGAAGGGGTGAGGAAGGAGTGTGGAACAGTGTGGGGGGGGATCATCAATACGGGGGGGGGGCACCTGTTCTGTGCTTCGCCTTGACCCTTAGTTGGTTCTTTACGTTTACGTGTACGTTACGTACGGTTACGTTTTCGTACGTTACGCACCTTCCGAATTATGCCCTTATGTACGGTCAGGTAAAAACTTTTTCTGTGCTGCCCCATTTGACTCGTAATGTGCATAAACGAGTAGTCTAACATCACGTCTTTACTAACACTACTACGACCTAGACCTCACGCGAACAATGGCAAAAAAAAAGTGAAATCGAGAAATTTTTGTACCTGCCCGGAGTAAGTAAACGTAAGTACATGTACGTATGTGTACGTGTACGTTTACGCGTACTTTACGTGTACGTGGGCCTCTAGGACGTAAATGACCAACTTAGCCTTGACCTGATTCGCCAGATCCATGATCCATCTCCTTGCTCAGCTGCACCGCAAACACCTGCGGCGTAAAGGGAAGGGGTGGGAAGGAGTGTGGGACAGTGTGGGGTGGGGAGGGCACAGGGCATCTTGAGGGCGTGCTTGGCCTTAATTTGATTCGCCAGGTCCATTCCTTGCTCAGCTGCATCGCAAACACCTGCAGTGAGCGTGAAAGGAAGGGTTGGGTTGGGGACAGTGTGGGCAAGGAAGGGAGGAAGACGGAGGAACGTGAATCGGCAAGACACATGGTGTCTGCTCTGTGCATTGCCTTAAGCTGGTTCGCCAGGTCCATCTCCTTGCTCAGCTGCACCGCTGAAGCGAGCCAGGGGGGGAAGGGGTGGCTTCAGTAAGTGATGGAATGACAGGAGGAACGGGGGAGGCCAATGATTCGGGCCACTGGGAGTCTGCCAGGTGCGCACGGGGTGAGAGTGGGAGGTAAAAGGAAGGAGACAAGGAGCATAAGGAAGGAAAACGACAGCCATGGAAGATGGAAAGGCGTGACCTGCACGAGGAACTCGCAGGCGGAGCGAGTGGGGTAGGGCACCATGCATGCAGGGCGAGCAGTGGCACAGGAAAAGAAGGCGAAAAGCAGGAGGTAGAGAGAGAATAGGCATGGCAATGCAGCAGAAAGCCAAGGAGGAGAAGGAGGGCATCACTAGGACGAGAGGGAAGGGCGAAAGCTATGGGCAGGAGAGAGGGGGGCAAGCAGGACGGGAAGGGCGTGTCACCTGAACGAGGAACTCGCAGGCGGAGCGAGTGGGGTAGGGCACCATGCAGGGCGAGCAGTGGTGACATACCACCAGCCAAGGTTGGGAGTAGACGGACAGAGAGTGGGCGGTAGAAAAGGAGGAGACAAGCAAGAGGGATTGAGGGAATAGGCAAGGAATGCACTTGATACCCAAGGCGGAAAAGGTGGAGAAGAAGGGAGTCACCTGGACGAGGAATTCGCAGGCGGAGCGGGTAGGGTAGGGCACCATGCAGGGTGAGCAGTGGTGACATACGACCAGCCCCCACAGCCGCCGCCCAGGCTCGGCCCGAACCGCCTTCCCAGCCCCGGCGACATCATTGGATGGTGCCGCTGCTGCAGCTGCTGCCGCCCCTGCTTCCCTGTGGTGTGGGGTGTTTGATCGGGAAAGGAGGGGTAGTCGATAAAGGGAGGGAGGTGTATGATTCTTGAGTCAACTCTAAGAACGGACACATGGATGGGATGTACGAGAGGGAGGCGGCGCAGGCATTCAAATTGATGGTGTGCAATGCATGCGGCAGAGGGGCGAGGAAGGGAGGTGAATAAAGGGCAGAGGGGAGAGAGGCAGAAAGCTAGGGAACGAGGGAGGGAGGGAGGGAAGGAGGGAGGGAGGGAGGGAGGGAGGGAGGGAGGGAGGGAGGGAGGGAGGGAGGGAGGGAGGGAGGGAGGGAGGGAGGGAGGGAGGGAGGGAGGGAGGGGGTGACAGCCACTCACTTACTCACTAACTCCCTCAGTCACTCGCTCACTGACTCACTTGCCCCGTGCTGATGGTGATAGCTAGAACGAGAGATGCGAGTGTGCCCATGTTGGCCATGTACTCGCGGTGGCACGACCGCACCATGCGCACCGTGCTGTGCGCCAGAGACAGGGCCCCCACTCCCCCACACCCCAACTGCCTTCCCAACCCCAAAACACCTCCATTTCTGGCCAGATTTTCGCCTGCATTCCACACACTGATAGGGCAGCGTTCCTGCCTGGTCCCAGGCGACTCACTCACTCACCCCGTGCTGACGGTAATCGCGAGCACGAGCGATGCAAGCGTGCCCATGTTGGCCATGTACTCGCGGTGGCACGACCGCACCATGCGCACCGAGCTGTGCGCCAGGGACAGACAGGCCCCCAAAATTCCCCAACTGCCCTCATACCCCCCATAACACCTCCATTTCTACCCAGAGTTTTGCCTGGATTCCGCAAACTGATAGGGCAGTGTTGCTGCCTGGTCCCAGGCGACTCACTCACCCGGTGCTGACAGTGATCGCGAGCACAAGAGACGCCAGAGTGCCCATGTTGGCCATGTACTCGCGGTGGCACGACCGCACCATGCGCACCGTGCTGTGCGCCAGAGACAGCCCCCCTGGCAGCGCGCCCTGATGCAGCACGTCCACCCCCGCTGCCTTGCTGTCCACTATCATTCGCACTCGATTTTCCATGAATGTTCTGCGCGCCATCTGTATGGAGGATAGGGAAAAAGCACGGATGAGAAGGGCGGATGAGAAGCAGCAAGGGAGGGAAGAGGAGAGGCAGCGCGCCCTGATGCAACACGTCCACCCCCGCCGCCTTGCTGTCCACTATCATGCGCACCCTGTTCTCCATGAACGTGCGGCGCGCCATCTGGTAGAAAAGGGGGGATAAAATGCAGGTCCATTTCAACCAGCGGAGGGGGAGAGAGAGGGGGGAATTGGCTGCAACACATCCACCCCCGCCACCTTGCTGTCCACTATCATGCGCACTCGATTTTCCATGAACGTGCGGCTCGCCATCTGGGGGAGAAAGGGGGGAGGGAGGGAGGTGATACAGGGCGCCTTGCTGTCCACTATCATGCGCACCCTGTTCTCCATGAACGTGCGGCGCGCCATCTAAGGAGGGGGGGTGGGAAGGGGCAGGAAGGGGGATGAGAAGGTGAAGAGAATAACGGGAAGAGGAGAGGCAGCGCGCCCTGATGCAACACGTCCACCCCCGCTGCCTTGCTGTCCACTATCATGCGCACCCTGTTCTCCATGAACGTTCGCCATGCCATCTGAGGAAGGAGGTGGGGGTGAGGGGGGACGGGGAAGGAATGGAAGAGGTAGGTTCAACCAAGGGAACAGGAGTGGGGAAGGGGAAGGGCCTTCCATCCACCACAGCGTATGGAACAAGCTCATGAATCCACCAGAGCACAGGCTCATCCTCACACTCTCATGGCCCCAGGGGTCTCATCTCATGGACGGCTCCGCACCATCCACCGGCCAGACCCAATCAATCTGTCAGTCAGTCTCAGTCAGACTCAGTCCGTGGCAGTCAGTCTCAGTGACTTGGTCAGACTCACTCTGTCTCAGTTACTCGGTCAGTCTCAACTCAGTCAGTGTCAGTCACTCGTCAGTCTCAGTCAGCCTCAGTTACTCAATCAGTTTCAGTCAGTCGCGTTCAGTCTCAGTTACTCAACCAGCCTCCGTCAGTCTCAGTCACTCAGTCAGACTCAGTCAGTCTCCGTCGAGGCCTAGCCCACACGAATGATGGAGCGGAACTGGTAAGGAGGTCAGAGAAGGTCCCTTCCCGGCGACGCCCATTCCATCCCATCACTGACGATAAAAGGAGATTCTTTTCCTCCTGCACGCCTGTTAGCCTGTTGCGTCCACATTCAATCCAGACTATACGTGTCACAATTTTTACTTGAAACGAACCCCTTCTCGTCGTGTGCCGAGCACAGTGACGGCTCCACCACGTCATCCGCACGCACACCTACTCGGCCAACCTTGCTGCAATGCCACGTGGAAAAATCCACTTCAAATTCGCACAGGATGACTTCATTCTGGAATCTGTTCTGGTCCCCGCCCTCCTCAACTGGGTAAGGGCCGGCTCCTCGTGCAACGTATAGGGCAAAGAGCAATGTACCTCGTAAAGATTAGGACAAAGAGCATTTTACCCTCGAGTAGCATGGCGGCGTCAGGAATCAGGAGGACCCACCATGGGAATGTCTGTCGCGGGATAATGCAATCCCAGATATGATTCGATCTTCTGGTTGTTGAGAAACTCCGCCAGCACTTCGCCGTGCTCGTCTTCGTGAAACTTGTACACCATGATGCGATCGTAACCAGTCATTTCGCCAATCTCCTCCACGACGGTGTTACACAGCAACCGCACGTCGCCAACAGGAAGCGACTTCAATCTCGCCACGGCTCGCGCAGCGAGTTTGTGAGACGCGAGCGCTCCTGTGACGGGGCCTGACGGCGGATCGAATTTCAACGGCTCAAAATCGATCATTAAGCCTTCCTCGCATCTTCTCATGATAGCGTAAAACGGGTTAGCCGATCGGTGTGAGCTAACGAGGATAGGGCAAACGATGTTCAGATCCGTCGCGCTGCACGCTCTCTCAATCGTAGCCACGCTCGTTAGTTTAAACAAACTACGGGCATCGAGTCCTATCGCGCCTTTCCAGTCCGGGTTTCCGGGAAGCGCATCGATCTCCAACATCTCAACCGCGTTCCGACTAAGCGCGAGAATACGAAACGAGCTCTCTTCAACAAGTAACAAACACCCAAAGGACTGAATCTGTCCAATTTTGGCGCTATCGGGACGAAAGTTGAGGTATCGACCATCAAACCCTATTTCTTCTCGTATGTGGCCTGTGCTGTACTTGCAGTATTCTGGTTCCGGCTCGGATCCGAAAATGGAGGCTTCGACTTGAGCGCTCGGGTAACCCTCCGCCTCGCCTACGAGATCCTCCACTAAATCTCTGTCGTCCATTTCGCCTCGCTTACTGTGCGCCTGTTTTTCGCGTTGCTGTCGGAACTTTACAAGACGACCGAAACTAAAACTAGAAAACTAGTTCCACCGTAAGAGTAAGGAGAGGCTATTTTTTCTAATCTGCAGGCAATGTGACTGAAGACGATGGGGTGACGTCAGTGATGCTCTCCATTTTGCTTCTCACAAACACAACAATCAAACAGCCTGTAAGTGGATGAAGCCTTGAAGTTGACGTTCCATTGCATCTGCTGCGTGGGGAAAGAACTGCAACGTTGCTCCTCCCCCACGCATCTGACGCGTGCGCCACAGTTGCCGGCTCCTAGGGATTTGTTCGCTAGGTCCGCATGGCTGGTGTGGGAAACCCGAGCTGAGTTTCGTGGCTCGAACAGCCAGAACACACTGGTTCGGAACACACCGAACCTGGTGACTTCTGGTGATCGAACATGCGGTCTTTGGCACCGTTGCACTTCCCATAGTTGGGCAGCAGAACCGTCTCCCCCTATCGTATCGCCGACGTTGGCCCCGCAACATAAGCAGAAACAAGAAAATTGAGGCGCTCCCACTTAGCTGGATTTTACTTAGAGAGGCTCTCTCGCCAGCCGGCCGAATCCACACTCGGTGTAGTATTATGAGCCCGATCGAGACTGGTTGTTTCTGTACCAGGTTTGGTTTGTAGGAGGAGAGGCTCGCATTTGGAGAACATACAAATGGTTGGTATGGTGGTAAGGGACCTGCCCTGTGGGGACAAGCCGTTTGTCTCCAGATTCGGACGAAATTGACCCCTCATTTCGAATTGAACTGGGCGGGGAGGGTTTCGAGCCCTCCACTCTGTCTGGCAAAATAAACAATGAAGAAACTGCACCAATGACTAACCTTCCTCTCTCGCTAGTAAATCATTGCTGTGCATTGGGATTTGGGATGCAGCATGCACCAGCTAGCAGCACCTCGTATGCTGCCGAGCAGCAAAATGTTTTATTACTCTCAAAAAAGTCGTTTCTCTTGCGGTACTTCAGTAACATCCAAAATCGTAGTTGCGCCATCAAACTAGGTTCCTCGGATTTCTTCTGGAAGTGTTTTCCAGTCAAAGCCCAGTAAATATCAGAATGTTTTTCCTCACCTCGGTAGATTTTCGTGTTATCGTAAATTAGGAGATAAATCTGAGGGGGAAACGCGAAATAAATCAAGAGCCAAGTTTCATTCGCACTTATGGGATTCCATAAATCTTCCGAAACGACAAATTCCTCGAGCCTTGTTCATCAGAGATAATATGCGTGTACTAGGTAACAGCAGGCTCGTTATCACGTAGGTCATTACAACTTCAAAAATATACCATAACAATCTTAACGGTGTCTACCTTTACAACGTTACACGCGAGTACATTAGCCCCAGTAGAGGCGTGGACGATTGACTCGTGGTCAAATTGTCTTGTATTAAAGGATTCACTCGAGTTAGGTACTTGGATCAGAATGCCAAGAGTTGATAGAATTGTGTGAGACTAGAGGGTCAAGCAGCAAGTGAAACCTCCTTCAAAGGGCAACTCATGGTAGCCGAGCATAACCAACAACCATGTAGATAAGGTTTGAAAATAAGCTTCATCGTCCCCTTACGCACCGGCTAGCAGGTTTATGTCAAATGTTGTAGCCTATAGTGAGGTTTGTCTTAGGGGGTACAAAACTTAGGGTTAGCTATATGTACCCCAACCAACATCAATGCATCATCCATTCCTCATTCTGACATGGTATCAGTTAGGTTAGGATCCTGTGGGATCCCGTTCCTCCGTTCTCCGTTCGTATCTCCCGAGCCTGATCCTACCTCTCGTTCGTACCGGTTCCGTTGTTACCGCGCCTAGTGCCGAGCCTAGCGCCCTTCCCCCCGTCGCCTAGCGCCCTTTCCCCCCCGTCACGTCGCGCCCTTTTCCCCCGTTGCGTCGCGCCCGTTCCCCCCCGTCGAGTCGCGCCCTTTCCCCCCGTCGCGTCGCGCTCTTTCCCCCCGTCGCGTCGCGCCCTTTCCCACCGTCGCGTCGCGCCCTTTCCCCCCGTCACGTCGCCCTGCCCCGTCCCGTTGCCCCTGCCCCGTCCCGTCGCCCTGCCCCGTCCCGTCCCGTCGCCCCGTCCCGTCCCGTCGCCCCTGCCCCGTCCCGTCCCCGTCCCGTCCCGTCGCCCCTGCCCCGTCCCGTCCCCGTCCCGTCCCGTCCCGCGGCCCTGCCCCGTCCCGTCCCGTCGCCCCGTCCCGTCCCGTCGCCCCTGCCCCGTCCCGTCCCCGTCCCGTCCCGTCGCCCTGCCCCGTCCCGTCGCCCCGTCCCGTCTCCCTACCCCGTCGCGTCGCCCTCCCCCGTCGCGTCGCCCTGCCCCGTCGCATCGTGCCCGCCCTTTCCCCCGTCCCGTCGACCCTACGCCCTGGCCCGTCGCTCTAGCCCGCTCTTCCGCTGCGACTAAGTCCCACCTGAACCCTAATTTGCCTCTTACCTCCTGCTGTTACTCGCCTGCTCGTTCGCGTTAGTTTTCGCTATGGCGACTCCGCGAGTTCTTCGTTTCGACGCTGACGGCAGACCTCTTGACTTTTCCGTCTGGCTCCTTCGCGCTCGCCGTCTGTTAGAGAGTCAAGTCCAGGGGGGCGAGACCCTCTGGTCGCACGCTACTGGTGACCTCCCCGAGCCCCCCGAGCCTGCCGCTTTAGGTCCTGCCCCTGACGATGCTGCTACGGCTCGCTTTGCCCGTCAGCGCGCTGACAGGACGGCTTGGACGTCGCGTGACGCTGCGGCCTGCATCGCACTCAGCAGCCTCCTCCCTGAGTCAGAGGAGGTCCACTTCACTCAGGTTCGCACCGCTGCTGCGTACCTCACTGCGATTAAGGCCCGCTACTCTACTCCCGCTACTGTCTCTCTTGGCCGTCTTTTCCTCCCGTTCCTGTTTCCTGATCTCGCCTCGTTTGAGCGCTCTGCTGACTTGATCGCTCACCTCCGCTCGCTCGACGCTAGTTACCGCGCTGCTTGCACTGAGGCACAGCTTGCACTGCTTCCTCCCCCCATGGCGATTACTATCTATTTCATCGCCACTAGCCTCCCTGACCGCCTTGCCTCCGTTCGCGACGCGCTTCTGCTGAAGCACCCTAGTGAGCTGACAGTTGAGGTCCTTGAGTCTGCGCTCAAGGACGTCGAGAGCAACCTTCGCTCGGTAGCTGCCGCCTCTGGTGCTGTGCCCCCCCCACTCTTCCACGGGTGCACAGTCCCGCAGTTACCCACCTTCACTGCCTCTCTTGCCACTGCCGCTACTGACGCGACTGCAGCTGCTGTTACGACTGCGTCGCGGTCCCGCGGCAAGGGGGGCAAGAAAGGTGGTTCTGGTGGAGGTGGAGGCGGAGGTAGCGGAGGTAGTGGGGGTGCTGTTGCGACTGGCGGTGGTGGGAGTGCAGCGTCTGGAGAGACCTCTCGTGCAGCGGCTGGTGACTCCACTGCGCCTGCTGGTGGTGGCGACACCCGAGCTCGTCAGTCGTCTCCTGTACTGCCGGCCCCGCTAGGTGGAGCAGCGGCGTGGTACCAGGCTCAGCGTCAGCAGCGGCTTCAGCAGCAGCAGCAGCCCCTCTCCTCCCAGCAGCCTCAGCAGCAGCAGCGTCAGCAGCTGGCTCCGGGGTCGGGGCTGCGTCAGCCCCAGCGTGGTGCTGCTTACCCTCCCTGCACCTATCAGGTTCTGACAGGTCCTCGTCGGGGCCACCCTTGTGGCCGCTTTCACCCCCCTGGTCAGTGCTTTGCTCAGCCTACTGACACGGTCCGGTTGGCCTACGGGGTTGGCGGTCCTGCCCTTGACTGGCTTCCTCTGGTTCAGCGCTACGGCTCCGCTCTGTGGGGCATGTCTGCTGAGCAGTTAGTTGATCTGATTGGTGCTCCTCATGCTATGTATGCTGTTGTTGACTCTAGTGTTTCTGACTCTGCTTACTCTGGTGTTGTTAGCTTAGGTGCTAGCCTTGCTCAGTTGCCTGTTGCTAGTGTAGGTTCTTGTGTAGACTCTAGTCCAGCGGCTACCTCAGAGGACGGTTCGCTGTCGTTCACGCTGGACTCTGGAGCCTCTCACTGCTTCTTTCGTGACAGCACGACACTTACGCCTCTTCCTGCGCCTGTTTCTGTGGCGCTGGCTGATCCCACTTCGGGACCAGTCACCGCGCGTCACACTACCACCTTGCCGTGTCCGGCTGCTCCTTCTGGGTCTCTCACTGGGTTTCACGTCCCCTCGTTCTCCCGGAACTTGGTGGGCGTGCGACCCCTTGTGAGTCAGCACGTGGGTGTGTGGTTTGAGCCTTCTGGAGAGACTGCGGTGTGTGTTGACGGGGACTCTTACCAGCCTCTCGCCACTTTTGCTGCTGAGCCGGGCTCCGGTCTCTACACTCTTCACACTGGCCCGCGCGCTCAGCAGCGACTGCAGCAGCAGCAGCAGCAGCCTCAGCAGCGGCAGCAGCAGCAGCCGCAGCCACAGCGGCCGCCGTCGCAGCAGCCACTCCTCCCAGTTCCTGTCCCTCCCCCTAGTCTCCTCCCTGCGTCTCACCAGGTGGTTCCGTCCCCTCAGGTTGTCGCGTCCAGTCCAGTCGCTGCGTCTTGCTCCTGTCGGTCGCTTGCCCACCCCACCGTTCTGTGGCACCACCGGATGGGACACCCTTCTCTTCCACGTCTGCGTGCTATGTCTAGTCAGCGTCTGGTCTTAGGTCTCCCGCGTGTCTTGCCGTCGCTGCCGCCGTCCCTTGCACCACCGTGCGGTCCTTGCGTCGAGGGTAGGCTGCGTGCCACCCCTCACTCCTCCTCCCTTCGTCCGGCCACCGAGCCTTTTGAGACGCTGCACTTGGACGTCTGGGGCCCCTCTCCTTGCCCTGGCCCTGAGCGTGAGCGTTTCTTTTTGGTGGTCGTTGACGACTACTCCCGCTATACCACAGTGTTCCCCTTGGCGAGGAAGTCTGAGGTGACTTCTACGCTGATCAGGTGGTTGCTTACCACCCAGGACACTCGTGGTCGTCGT